GCCGCTGCTTCCCCCCCCCCATCTCCCCCAGCCAGCTCCCTGACCCCAATCTCACGCCCCCCGTCAGCCCTGCTTCTGCCAGCCCCCCAATCTCTCCTGGCCAGCCCCAATGCCCCAGGCAAGCCCTGCTTCCAGCAGCCACTTCTCCCCTACTCCTCCTCCCGATCTCCCAGCCAGCCCCCTTGCCCCCCAGCCAGCTCTGCTTCCGCCGGCTGCCCCCTGCCCCAAATCTCCAAAGCCCACCCTGATTCCCCTGTCCAGTGCTGCTTTTGGTGGCTGGCTCTCCCCTCCTTCTCCTCCTCCTCCCCCCCAACCTCCTCTAGCTATGCCTCTGCCAGGAGCTGGAACATTGGGCTGCAGGTTATGCCCAAGCCATCCAAGGGCTTGGCGGACCCAGTGCCACACAGGCACTCCGGGAGCACAGAACACCCCGGCAACCATGCTGAGGCCCGGTAGTTTTTTCCTGCGGCCCGGTATCGGGCCGTGGCCCATAGTTTGGGAAACGGTGCCCCAGAGTATGGGGAGCAGACCCTCCACTGGCTCTGAGGGTGGAGTGCCCCCTAGCGTTAACTTAGGGTTAAGGGTACGGACCTTAGCTAATATAGATACACTCCCCTGGCAATGATGCAACTTAGCCTCCCAACAGCACAAGTCTCTCTAAGGCTACGTCTAGTCTGCAAGCCTCTTTCGAAAGAGCGTCTAGACTACAACCAGTACTTTTGAATACAAGCCACTTTTTTGAAAGAGAGCACCCGGGCAGTCTGGATGCTCTCTTTTGAAATAGCAGTTTGCATTACATAGCGCCTTTTTTCGAAAGAGCACTTTCAAAAAACGCATTCTTCCTTGTAAAACGGGGTTTGCTGTGCTCGAAAAAACTGCTGCGTTCTTTCCATTTCCTTTTGAAAGAATGCGGCAGCAGTTGGTAAAAAAAATTTTACGTAGGTAAAAAAATTTCGAAAAAAGGTCACTTTTTTTGAAAAATCCCTGTAATCTAGACATACTCTAAGGGAGCTAGCTACGGGGTAGCTCCGCCTGGGTACAAGAGGATCTATGGGCACTTAACCTGCTGCCTTAGCACTGCGAGCTGCCAGCTTTTTGGCATTTGCGGGCTGAGCAGGGGGCTACTGTGACTCAGTATTGTACCACTGCGGTTTGGCGGGAGACCACGTAAGATGAGTAGGGTTCATGCCCAGAACCTGAGTAATTCTGTTTGGTCTCCCTACACACATTCCTCTCCCCCCAGGATTTTCACATGGTGCCCTTTTTCACTGTGGCACACCATTGCTGTGAGACGTCTGTGGTGCTGCACCCCAGAGCTGACAGTGATGTACCCCTCCTCCGTCTAGCTCTGGGCTCGTGGAAAGGTTCAGGAGTCAGTCAAGGTGTGTTTGTACTGGTTTTATTGTATCCATCACAACGCACCTGGCCAGTGGGGCAGTGGAACTGCTCTCATTTACAGCCAGGGATACAGGCACCAAGAGGTGAGTGACCAACCGGGGCCACAAAGCAGCAGGAGGCTGGCTCCCTGTTCCCCAGTGGGGCTGGACCCCCCGCCTCAAGTCAGAGGGGGCAGAGGAGGCATCCAGCCTGCACGAGGCATGGCCTTCACGAAGCTCTGAGAGCCACGCCTGTATCTGCAGCAAAGCCAATGGCCCAATTCACACTCCAGCCAAGGGCGCCTGGCCATCGGCTACAATGGGAGCAGGAGCAGCCCTTACATTTCTTCAGCCCTGCCTGGCCAGGATTTGGGGGCCAGTGACTGCATGGACCCCGTACTCAGCCTTTGTCCAGAAGTGGCCTCCTTTGTGGCAGGGCACTGGTGCATATGACTAACCCCTATAAATATAGTGCAAAGCAAATGAACCTCGCAGCTGTGTAGCCATGGACAAGGTGCCCCTGCAGAGCCCCTCGGGCCAGACTCTTCCCCAGCCAGCCAGCTCCAGGGGGGAGGAGGGAGGTGAGAGAGTGGAACTGCAGAGTGACTGTGCCGACAGCGAGGGGACTGCGAGGAGGTGGAAGTAGACAGGCGCCAGGTGTGGGTGGAGCCTTCCCAGGCAGCCACACCCCCAGTCTCTGTGCTCTCATTCTCTCCACTCCCCCAGATCTCAGTTGGTCTTCTGGAGGAACAAGCAGTCCCTTCCACAAGCAGAGTGCCCGGCCCAGCCAGAGCAAGGGGCTCCCTGCCAGGACAGGTCTGAAACAAGGCTTGGCTGCTCCTCACACGTCTCCCAGCATCGTGCCCAGCTCCGCCCGCTCGTAGGCCTCCTTGAAGTGACTGGGGAACATGTTACTTCCCACCAGACTGGCCGTACCCTCAACGTCCCCCGTGGCACTGTCCCCAGGTGCCAGGAACGGGGCAGGGCTGCTCTGCACTGGGCTATAGGCATCCAACAGGAACTCTGGGCCGAGGCAGGCTGGCAGCTCCATGGCAGGGCAGGCGGCAGGCAGCACGTCCCTCTGGTTCAGGCAGCTGTAGGAGGCATAGTCCTGGCCCAGGTACAAATCGAAGGGTTCAGGCAGTGTGATGTGATCCAGGTTGGGGTGGAGGGCAAAGCCTTCCTCTGCAATCAGAACATGACAGGCTCAGTCAGCCTTGGCACTGGAGATGGACCAGATCAGCTGGGTTGTAGGGCAGCAGGCCGGGAGGCAGAGGCCAGTGCCTTGGGGGCTCCATAGCACAGCATGTTTTGGGGCGACTTCTCGGGACAGAGCACCCCAGCTCCCATCGGCTGCCCTGGGAATTGGGAGCCATGGCCCTGATGTCATTGCCATCCCATGAAAAGGGGCTTCCCCCCATGTGTGGGAATCATTGCACCCCCCCAGATCGCCTCCTCAGCCCCCCACTTCTCCCCATCCAGTGTGGAGAGGTCAGAGCGCCACTGAGCTCCGGCCTGGTCCCCTCCCATAGCATCCCCCAGACAAACACACTGTGTGTGGAGGGGTCACTGCACAGGGTCACCTGGCAACCACTTGCTAATCCATGTCCTGACCCACAACACTGACCTGTTCCCTGGGGGGTGATTAAATGGTCCATGTAACCGGGCTTCTTCTTCCTCTTCTTGGCTTCAATCCCATGAGGGTCTGAGGGATGATCAGAGAAGGCACCTCACAGTCCTGGCACAGGCACAGCCTGGACCCACAATGGACATCCAAAGGAACCAAAAACTGATTCCCCTGTCCCCATGACCTTCAGGGGCCTGAAGGCTGCACTCCCAGCTGTCACACCCAGAGCGATGGATGGGGGCAGGATGACCCATCATGCTGAGCGGGTTGGAGGAGGGTGGAGGAGCAGCCACCACAGTGAGCAGGTTGGATGGGAGGTGGT